ACCAAATAAGGAAAACAGGAACTAAGACGGGTAAAACAAGGAACCACAAGTCCACAACACTGACATAACTCCCCCTCCCAGAAGGTGCGTCCCGCGCCATAACAATTCCACCGGGGAGGAGCGGTGGGCGCCCTGGAGGCTGGTACAGGACAGAGACACGGGAGGCCTCCAAGGCGGATCAGGGAGCTCAGGGGGCCATGGCGGATCAGGCAGTAAAGGGTGCCATGGCGGAGCGGGCAGTTCAGGGCGCCCTGGCGGAGCGGGCAACTCAGGGCGCCATGGCGGAGTAGGGAGCACGGGGAGCCATGGCAGATTAAACCGTTCAGGAGGCCATGGCAGGGAGCACGGGGCACCATGGCGGAGCATGCAGTTCAGGAGGCCATGGCGGAGTAGGAAGCAGGGGGAGCCATGGCAGATCAAAAGTTCAGGAAGCCGCGGCCCCATCCCCCGCCCCGGCCTCTACGGCTGGAGCCTATCTGTTTGCTTTACTGTTGCAGAATGGACAGCAAGCCTAATGTTTGCATGGAGGCTGGAGAGCTGGTGCTCAGGGCATCTCAGAAGGCAGCCACTGTGGAGAAAATACACCTTTCTCGAGTGGCTAAATGGGTGCCCTTTTTGCCGAAGGACCCTGAGGCTGTGCTGGAGGATGCCAAGGTCAGGGTAGTCCAAGGTGGAGGGGATCCCTCTGATGACCTACTGCTGACAAGTCAAAGTGCCATCCAGTTTGGTCAATACAGGGCGAGAACCTTCGAGTGGTTGTTGGAAAACGACCTTGGCTACTCCCTCATGGTCCTGTCTGGACATCAGCGGGAACGTGAGGCTGGCAGACTGGACAGAGGAGCCCTTATGGCCAACAAAGTTGCCTTTCTCCAGTATACCTGCAGATTCAAGAAGGTCACAGAGGACATCAGAGTGCGCAGGTAGAGAGAGGTCACATTACCTGGCTGTGAGGGTGACTGTCTGGTGGGATTTGGGGTCACAAGAAGAGTACCTACAAAGAGCTCTATGAGGTTATGGACAGGGAGAGGTAAAGGCAATATACGTTTATGCCTATTGTGATTTATTTGCTTTGTTTGCTTGTTGTTTTATATTTCATTATAATCATTTATTTTATTTCATTACATTTCTTATGCAGCTATGTGGACTTCATTAGAGTAAAGGACACAAGTGCAGGCAGCAGGGATGGATGCCCTAAAAGATAAAGGCTGAAGGGGGAAAAAAATCTTCTGCTTCCCAACCTGCAGCTTCCCGACCCCCTGCATATCTGGCCTCTCCTGCAGCCACCTAAAGCTCACTCTTTCTGAGCCAGCCACAGCACATGGTTTGTTTTTAGATCCATATATTGGAAACTGCTCTGGAAAAAGAAACACTTTTTACTGAACTTTAATAAACTTAATAGGTTCTTTTGTGATATGAATGTAGTGAATTTGATGAGGAAGCAATCTCTCTGCAACAGTGTCGCTATATCACAAACTATGTAAACTACATTGTGAGGACTGGATGAAGAGCTGCATGTGACTGGTTAGAGCATCACATGGCCCATCACACCTCCGGCACCCATGCCTCATGTTTGGAGCTTGTTAAATCTTCTGTTTTCCAACAATAGGTGGCCAAAAACCCGGTGGAAGCTGCAGCTTGGATCATAGCCTGTCTGCATTTTTGTGTGGGACAAGGGAGATGTGGCCCTTCTGAGGCAAGCAAAATGGAGGGAGCTGGGGCAACAGCAGGGCCTCACATATGAGCTGCTAACCAGCACTCTCACCTCCAAACAGCTGCTGTAGCACTGTCGCCACTGCACATCTGGCATGGAGATGATGGCTGTTATCCGGGACACCCAAAAGTGGCATCTTCCTTGCATCCAGGACCCTACTGGAGTGCAGCTGTACACCCAGACAGGAAGATTACAAAAGTAGGGCTCACACTTCCCGTCTACCACTGCACTAGAGGGTCCACACTCCTAGAGCCCTTTCACAACCACCTCAACCATTTTATATGCAGTAAAATTACGTACACCCAACTCAAGATGTGGTTTCATGATTATTCATTTTATGGAAGGAGTGCTATCCTGCGGGGTATTCCAGAAAGCAAGGTTAACTTACTGTCACATATAGCCTGAACTCCTGGTTGATTAACCCAAAACACCAGTGAGGAGTTCAATCAACCTCCTGTTTTTAAACCAATGTTAACGTGCACACACACACAGTGAGTACAAAAAGTCATTTTTATTGGATCACCAATTTCAGGAGTCACTGTGGAAACCCAAGGTGAAAGATAAAGGGCTGCATACTTCAATGAAGCAGAGTTGGAGATTTTAAATGCATGCTTAT